GCAATAAACATGGGTGTGCATATATCTGCTTGGATGTCAGCTATGGTCTCTTCAGGGTATATTCCCAGTAGTGGAATTGCTGGGCCAAATAGTATCTCTATTTGCAACTTTTTGAGAAAGCGCCATACTGCTTTCCACAGGGGTCGCACCATTTTACACAACTGGTGTATTTGAACCACCCATCTTTGGGTTGACAACACAGCTCCTTATCTACTATTTGAAAAATAGATTTATCTCCTTTATGGCTGCCTATTCTCCCTTTCAATTTTACTTGCATTGGCACAACTCCATTTGCTCCTGAGTAAAAATTGTCATGTTCTAAGGTTCTGAAGTTATGAGATGGAGATACTAAAAACAATGGATGTTGAGGATGGAGATTCTGAGACAGTAGAATTAAGGCTTTAGGAATTGCATTTATTACCAAAGAACTAGAATAAACACTTGGGGTCCCTTCAAGATAGTCTGGAGGCCCTCACATTTGTATGCACCTAAAAAATGTTAAGACACTGCACTGCAATCTTGTAGGCATGTGGATCGAATCCACCAGCTGCTCTGTGGGAGAAAGATGGACAGTCTCCTCCCATGCGATTCATTGCCTCTGAAAACTCACCAGAGTGTCAGGTATGGGTTGATTCTGACTCAACAGCACACAGCAACAACAACAACATTTCTTAGATAGGTGTTCAAATTCTTAATGGATTCTCAGTTTCTTCTTCCTTCACTATTTTATATAGAAAACACCCTTATCTCTCCTCTCCTGGAAGGTCACAAAAATACCTATTTTTGCTATTGACCTTCTAGAGTATTTGACAATTTACATATTCTGCCATTCTTTTATTCCTTTTTTTATACATTAAAAATGATAGTAAATATATAGGTAACAAAAGACTGACTTCTCTAGCAGTCTTCACATATATAGTTCATTGTCATTACAAATGCTCATCGTGTTGTTCAGTCTGCATCATAAACAGACAGGATCCCCAAGCATTGTGTCTTCCTTTATCTTGGCCATCCTGGAATAACCTTGTTACTTTAAAAAAAATGTCTTTAAATTTTTATTTATTTTAATGAAAGTTTACAGAGACTTTGGATTTCCATTCATTCATTGTTGCACATTTTCCTCCCTGCCCACCCCTCCCCAGTTCATTTTTCTCTTTGATAAATAAGGAAAATAACCCAACAAAAAACCTTTTATTGTTATATAACCCCCCTCCCCGCCTGGGTCCAGTCCACTCCACTATGTAGCTTTCATTCTGGACTCTTGTCATGACAATAATACCTAATCATGTATTCCTCCTAAACCGTTCTCTCCCTCATCTGTTTCAATGCAATAGTAATTATTTATCACCTCTTAGTTTCCCCCCAACTCCGATGTCAGTCCCACTTTACAACAGTGGCACTATGCAGTATTTGTCCTTTTGTGACTGAGATATTTCACTCAGCATAATCTCCTCCAAGCTCACCCGTTTTGAATAATATTGCATGAGTTCCTTGTTTTTCAATGCAGCATAGTATTCCATTGTGTGAATATACCACAGCTTCTCTATCCATTTGTTCGTTGATGGTCCCTTAGGTTGTTTCCAACTCCTTGCTATTGTGAACAAAGCTGCAATAAACATGGGTGTGCATATATCTGCTTGGATGTCAGCTAT